GTCCCTCCCAGTCCATCCCAGTTTCCCCTCCCACCCTTCCAGTCCCTCCCAGTCCCTCCCAGTCCATCCCAGCCCAATTCCATCCCAGTCCCTCCCAATTTCCCCTCCCAGTCCCTCCCAGTGCCTCCCAGTGCCCCGCCCACCTTTCCCAGTGCCCGCCCCCAGCGGTGCCGGCAGAGGATGAGGGCGATGACGGCCAATAGGAGCAGGATTATGGCCACCAGGCAGCCAATCAGGGTTGAGCTGTGGCCGGGCTCAGCCTTGGCCATTGGTTGGCCCAGTTTGGGGGCTGTTGGGAGGGGACGTGGCTTAGTCTGGGCCCATTAAACCCCGCCCAGCTAAACCACACCCAGTTAGACCCAGCCCCATTAAGCCCCGCCCAGTTAAGCCCCACCTTACCCAGGGTGGTGCCGTTGGTGGCTCCGTTCCAGCTCCAGGGGTTTTCTGGGAAGGCCACGCCCCCTCTGGAAGAGTCGGGGGGCGGGGCCGGGGGGGGCCACCCACTGGAACCCGCCCCCTCCTCCACCGCGTCTGCGGGGGAGGGACCCGGCCGGTGACATCATCGGCTGAGCGATGACATCATTGACCGACCAGTGATGTCATCAGCCCACCAATGATGTCATTGACCAGTCAATGACGTCACCACCCAACCAGTGCCCCCACCACCCAACCAATGACATCATCACCCAACCAATGATGTCATCACCCAACCAATGATGTCATCACCCATCCAACCACCCCTCCACCCCCCAAGCCCCCCCCAGACCCCCTCCCCGTTCCCGGGAGCCCCCTCGGGCCGCACCCGACAGGAAGGTGACCTCGCTGAAGAGCATCCACTCGGCAGCGAAGAAGAACCGGCAGCGGACGAAGCGGGCGCGGCGCCCGCCCAGGGGGACGGTGACGGAGCGGGCGCGGGGGTCCTGGGTGGCCCCCGGGCTGTGCGTGGCCACCGCGTCCTCCCAGGCGGAGGCCAAGCTGCGCTTGAAGCGACACTCGGCGGCGCCGAAGATGCGAACCCCCCGCGTGTGCAGGTTGTTGCAGTGCACCTTGGGAAGGGGGGTTTGAGGTTGGGAGGGGGTGACCACCCTTCCCACGGTGCCCTGGGGCGGTTGGGATGGAGCCAAAGGGTAATTCCAGGGGGAAATTCCCGCCCTCGGCCGGGTTTGGAGGTGGTGGATCTTCCTCGATCTTCCACGACTTCCCCCTCTCTTTCCTCCCGCGATTCCCGGGGGGATCAATCCCGGCGTTCCCCTGGGGGGGGCTTTACCTGCATGGCCTGGAAGGTGCGGAGCCCCTGGAACTCGAACTCCAGCTCCAGGTGGGGCCGGGGCCCGGCGGGGCGGGGCCACCCCACGTAGTCGTAGCCGGGCCAGAGCCGCCGCTCGCGGGTCCGCACGAAGTCGTCCAGGCCCAGGACCCCGTCCGAGAGCTGGCCCAGACCCCCGAACTGCAGCCTGGGAGTGGGGGGGGGACACGCCGGGGGCACACCTGGATCACCTGGATCCCACTGCACCCACCTGGGGCACACCTCGATCACCTGGATCCCTCCACACCCACCTGGGGCACACCTGGATCACCTGGATTGTCCCACCACACCCACCTGGAACCCCCCCGGAGCACACCTGGATCACCTGGATCACCTGGATCCCAGCACACCCACCTGGGACCCCCCGGGGGTCACCTGGGGCTGGTTTGGGGACACTTGGAAATGATTTGGGGACATTTGGGGCTGGTTTGGGGCGAGGTGGGCTGGGGCAGGTGACCCTTGGGGACCCTCGGGGGCAGTTGGGGACCCTTGGGGGCAGTTGGGGACCCTCGAGGACCCTCGGGGACGGTTGTGGACTCACGGGCCGGCGCTGGATCCGTCGTAGGTGGAGTCGTTGAGGACGACGGGGGCGGGGTCGAGGGGCATCACGTGACCCCGCGGCGCCGTGTAGGACACGAGCCCGGCTGGGGACATTTGGGGACATTTGGGGACATTTGGGGACACCGGGGGGGATGGCAGCACACAGCCGGTGATGTCATCGTATGATCGGTGATGTCATTGCGCGATTGATGATGTCATCACCCAACCAATGACATCTCACCCAATTAACGACATCATCACCCACTCGATGACCCCATCACTCAACCAGTGATGATATCACCCTATCAATGACGTCATCATCCAACAAATGACCTCATCGTCCAGCTGATGACATCACCACCCAACCAATGACATCACCACCCAACCAATGACAT